CAGCATGGTTTCAGGCCAGGTAAATCTACTTGCACAAATGGTGTTTCCTTTCTATCATACATTATTGAGAACATTGAGACTGGTTCTCAAGTTGACGTCATAATCACTGATTTTAAAAAAGCATTTGATACGGTTAATCACGAGCTGCTTATTTATGAATTAGAACGTCTAGGCCTTGGATATCCGTTGCTCGGATGGTTCAAATCTTACATTACAGGTAGGAAGCAATTTGTAAAAGTGGCTGGGGTATCATCCTGCGTAATCAACATTCCATCAGGCGTTCCTCAAGGAGGGCACTTAAGTCCACTGCTGTTCTCTCTTTTTATAAATTCTCTGTCCCAACACCTTAACAGGGCCAAGTGTCTTCTCTTTGCTGATGACATCAAACTATTTTTGAAAATTGACTCTACGGCTGACCAGGCTGTTCTACAGAGTGAGCTTGATTTATTTTCTATCTGGGTAAATCGTCTTGGACTGGTACTTAATCTTGACAAATGTCACTCAATTACCTTCACTAAATCACGTTCATCTACAAACAGAACATATTCCATCAATGGCTTTCCACTTAAACAAGTATTCCAAATTAAAGACCTTGGTATCCTTTATACGTCTTCTCTTTCATTTAACCAGCATATTGATGCAATAGTAGCACGTGCTCTTAAGGTTCTCGGATTTATTAAACGCAACACTAAACATTTCACATCAGTGAATTGTCTTCGTTCCCTCTACTTTACATTAGTGCGACCAATTATCGAGTATGGAGTTGTGGTATGGCACCCATACCTTGCAAGACACCAGCATAAGCTAGAACAGGTACAAAATCGATTCCTAAGCTACTTAGCATTTACGAGTAAAACTGACGTGTCCCCCCATGACTATGTCCAACTACGTAAAATGTTTAATATCCCATCTCTCTCTACGCGTCGCACCGATATAGATGTACACTTTTTAACTTCCCTTCTAAATGGTACTTTAGACGCTCCTAACTTACTTGCTAAAATTCCATTTAAAGTTCCTACCCGTGGAATACGAAACCTAGACCAGTTTTATGTTCCCCATCACTCTACTGCCTATGGTTACAATCATCCACTTCACAGAATGCTCAGAGTTACTAACTTAAATATACCTTAGCTGTTTTGGCTGCGTTCTCAGGCTGCTCTTGTTATTTGTACGCTCTAGTTTTTGTTTAGAGTTTTTATGCTTATTACTAATTTGTTATCTAATTGTTATTACCTACATATTATGTATTATTGTTTAACTGCCGATTGGCGTAAAATATATATAAATAAATAAATAAATAAATAAATAGTTCACTACACATACAGGCTGTCCCGTGAGGATTTACTCATTGCGATATCTCCTGAAATAATAGAGATATCGTAATTCTATTTTCTTATTAAGACTCACAGAGGTAAGAACTACAAATAACTAATTTTTTATTTATTTTTTATGTTTTGGTAAAAAAGTTAAAAAAAATTATTTTTTTAGGTAATTATTAAAAAAAAAATATTGAAGATTGCCATTTTGTGGAGTTCATTTTTCTGAAAATATTTACGTTTCAACATTTTAATTTCATTAATTTCCTGATTTTTAATAATTTTTTTAAAGTAAAACGGCAAAAAACCGGTTTTGGTCCGGGCGACGAGTCCCCCTCTACGGCTAATAGGTATATCCTCACGGGACACCCTGTATACTTATACGGAGTTAACTTGGTGATCATTGTTAAAAGTATAAATCTAAATTAAATTAAGAATAATAAAAAAACAATTTGTGAGAAGAATACGATTACTGCTGGAACGACGAATGTATTGATTTTACAATGATGTGGGTTTTTTTTTTTATTTTTGTGTCTGCCATCGAGGTTTGGGGCAGGAAAACTGCTTCGATTTTATTCAACAGTATCTTTTTCGATGGGAAAGTGAATCTAGTTGGTACTTTGGGGGGTCAAAAGTAAAAATTTCCCAGTAGTTTTCAAAAGAGTCGTGAAAACGAAAGAAATATTAAGGAAAAACGGGAATTTTTACGCAAAATCTGTTTTCGAGAAAATCGATTTTGGTTTTTGGTGTAACTTTAAAACAAGACTCTTTTTGAGCTGTTTACGGACATTTTCAGTTTTCATTTTTTAGTTTTTTTATTCAATGAATATCAATTAAGTTTTAACTGTTGGGCCAAAAAGTGTAAAAGTTTAATACAAGGCTCCTGATAATATATTGTTACAATATCAGTTGAAAAATATTAAAAATACATAGGTATAATTTTTTTTTATAAGCATTTAAAAATCGAATTTTGACAAAATTTATCAAATTTAAAATTGAATAGTTATTTTGTAGTTAAAAATGTATAAAATGTTCAACTTTTATATCTAAGGATTGAAAATTTAAAACAAGTTTCCACGTAAGTAGTTAATTCTGTTACCAAAAAATCTAAAAAATACATAGACATAGTTTATTTTTATAGTAATTTTAAGTTCAAATTTGGACGAAATTACATAAAAAAAAAAAACCTAGAATAACTATTTTAGTTATTTTGTTGTGATTGTATAATATTAGGTATTCGTGGGTAGGTACTTGAAACTTCAAAAGTACACTATTATAATATATCTATGATAGTATCAGGGTTTGTTGTTGATGTATAACGCGTTATAAGTACCTAATGAATATTGTGATATGATTAATTTGGAATTTATTATAGGTACCTACCTACCTATTATAGGTCAATTTTTTTTAATACCATAGATAAGTATATAATATGTCATATACCTAGACTGACATACTGTCTCCGCTCAGAATCGTTTTTCTTATACAATGATATTATATCATTGAATTCAAATTTAATACCATCCATTATACAGTAACCCACTTGTAACCTACTGTACAGCGCAGAGAACCTTTTTTAAATTCAATTTTATGTTTATAAAGATATTAATATTATCTTTATTTATCGACGGTATTTTGTTAAAAGGGTGTTAACCACACAAAATCGAAAAATACGTTTTTGTTATCTAAATTTTCAGAAAAACTACGTGCATTTTCTGGTATACTTCGTATGCATCAACTGAAAAATAAGATAGCAATACCGAATACAAGATATGCAGACGCCCTTTTAAAAATTAAAATAATCTATACAGAACTGTTGAAAGGGCTTATACCACACCGAATGGATGTTAATTGTTTATAACCTCCACAGTTTATAACAATAATTGAATAATCGTGATTATTACAAGGTTCTGATGGCCATATTAAAAGTTGTTAATTTAGCATAAACTGTACTTAATTAATGATATAAAAAGTTAAAATGTACTTAAGATTAATTTTTTTGATTAACAAAATTAAATATGTAAAACTATAATACGTAACTATTTAATTGTTGTAAAAAGATTAAAAATAGGTCAAAAAAAAAAAAAATATTCAATGTGAAATATAAAAAAGTATCATTTTTTATCAAATTTTTAGTCATATAAAACCCGTTCTTTAATATTATTTTTACTATAGAATTTAAACTTTGAAGACAAATACATAAGCCATAAGCATAATATTATTTAAGTAAACTTCCAAGAGTAAATGTCTTATCTTCATCATTATTATACATATAATTTATATATATAAATAGATACCTATTATTGACATATAAACAGATAGTATTGTACATCATAGTATCATACATACTTTTATTTGCAATATTTGCATGATCGCTGAATTCAACAACAGGGCCCCTACAGGGTTGGGTAAGCGGGGCCCTTTTGCAGTCGTCCGAGCAATTGTTTTTGAAGTGAGAGATAAAACCTAACTTAATCTACTTATTC